GTGATGATTTAATTCATCTTCAAAAATGCCAGAAGTGCAGACTTTATAAACTCAATTGTGTGGAAAGGGTCAGATTTTTATTACTTCTTAAAAATATTTAATTGTACAAAATTTTCCCATAGAAGGTATGACGATGTACAGTCTAAAACCTTCAAAGCTGTATCCCATAGAAGTTAGTGTGTTCAATGAACACAATATGGATGATAGTTAAACTTTAATCCACTTATTATTTTATTGTTCATATTGGTATACATTTTTAACATAACATATGTTTCTCAGTTTTACTTCATGCCACAAGCTTTAAAGATATGTAGTTAGACTGAAGTTGGTTTATTCCATTCACATATGTATTAATCAGTCTAAAATATTACTAATGATTTTTAACAAACTGTAAGATAAGTAAAACATATCCAACTGTATGTTGTGATTATTGTGTGGTAAGTTAAGAGAATAATCCTATCTATATTTTTCCATACTATCCAAATAACCTTAGAATATGAATAATAATATTTAGCTATATCTTATCCGATGTAAACTATCAAAAGTTGTCAAAAATATCAAGAAATACAATTAATATGTGTTGGTCATTTAACAAGTGACCAATGCTATATTTCCCAGTGATGATTACTGATTTGTTTGAATGTAACTTCTATACAACTTAAACTACACTAAATCACGATATAGTGTACTTTATTTTGATTTGTAAATAAAAATGCTTTAAAACATAGTTTTAATTCGTCAAATAAAGCATTCAAATCTTCAACACAAATTCATGTGCGATTCAAGATCCAAACTAGTATCAATCGTTATGAGAAAAAAGTAACGGATTGACGATGTAATTTGAGAAAATTAAAAGTTGAAAAACCGGATAAAAAGTGAAATTTCCCGAACAAAAATAATTTGAAACAAAGTAGTTTAGAAATGATTTTTACCACAAGTGGATGCTCTTGAACAAAATTGTTTCAAAAATAAAATTCGACTTAACCGGTTATGATGATTGTATAGTTTAAAACAAGTACTAATTTATAGATACACATCCCTCTTCATTGAATAACATAACGATTTGTTTAATTTATTCGCTGTTATGTAATAATCATTGCCCAAAATCGAGTAGACATACAATATCAGTACTTAACATTTCTAGTTATATAAACAGTTTTACTGTATAGTACATATACTTATTCATGAAAACATTTTATTATGTTCTGTGTAAGAGATGTTTCCCATGCAAAATTTAATGAGAATGTGAAAGAATTTTGTAAATCCCTCGATAGTTAATTAAAATTATTCCAAGTCTTCTAGTTGAATTGATTTAGTTTGTGAAAAACTAAGAAAATTTTGTTATATGGATTCGGATTTCTTTATATATGCATATATATTTAAAAAATCCAATTAGATTACACAGTGATGTGAACAGTAATAATTATTATAACGAAAGTTTTACCCATAAACAAAATATAATCAATTTCTGAATTCAAATAGTAAGTAGTTTTTACTCCGATTACCCTTCTTACTACACTATCTATGGGTTTATTTACTAAGTAGTATATAAGGAATCTACCGAAAATGTATAAAAACTAATCCTATGGTTTAACTAATTGGTTTGATTGTGAAACTCTCGTTGTCTATTGGAACAAAATCATCAGCACCTTAACCTTGAAATAATTGGAATATAAAGGCTTATTACAGAATATTTACAATCATTCAGCTGATTAATAGAAACAATCTGTTTCAATCCTATAATGAGTACATAAGAATTCAATATAATCCAATATTTTTATTTTAAAAAATGTTGAGTTAATTAGTTAAAAAAGCAACACTAATGTTGATAGTTGTTGGTTGAATACACACATTCATCAGAAATATAATAAATTAGGCACATCTGAATCTTTGTAGGCTAATGCATATGTCACTTTTTCTTATCATATCTACTACGTATGTTACACACAGTTAACCTTCATTAGGTCTTGAAATAACGATGTAACAGAACAATGAGATCAATAATAATAATAATGCTATGAATTCAAAGAAATTATTGAAAATTACACCAATTAAACACTTTGATCAACATTACTAATAAATAGATATGATCCTTATATTTATAATGAATTATTATTTCTTTCGCTTACTTGTTGAGTAAATGATCAAAATAGAATTTTATCTACATTTTATTTAAAGAAATGTTGTTGAACTAAATTATAAGGCATACAAACCTGTATTTTCAAGATAAAAATATGGGCTTCACGAATGAAAAGAAGAATCTATACTACATCAAATGTACGCGAATATATAGAATACGAATCAATAAAGTTATATCTTACCGTTCAAATTAGTAACTTACTCAACCTAAGATATGAGTATCATTTTTAACACATACATATGAATAATCATAAAATACAATGAACACAATTAACTACTATTCTGAAATTTCTTATGTTTTGTCTAACAAAGGCGTGATTTATAAGTTGAAGGATTCAACTTGTAAAAATAAGATCGTATTCTTGAGATTCATAAAAGTCTTACGTTAGTTCACAAAAAACTTGTAGTAAAACTATACAATAGCTATATTTTTAAGATCAAAAGAAAATGTTATTTCTCTTTAGTTAATAAGGTAATAAAAACTCTGTAACATTTTACATTAATTATGAAGTATATAACAAAATCTTTTATGATGATCGCTTTTCTACATTTTTTATTATAATACGTTTTAAAATGAAAAAAAAGATTAAGAATCAAACGATGCGTATTAAGAATATAATAATATTAAGCATATCAAACAAGGAAGATTACAATTACACTGACCTATATTAGGTTAACACCTTACTGATGAATTATATAGTTACATTTTATAGTTTGTACACATCTGTAATAATGAAAATACCAATGTTTAAACTTAAAATTTGACATTATTTCGTATTACAAGTGTGTTTAGATGTTTCAAGCATACTATCTTCACTAACCACTGTATACTCTCACATGGATATATACACATATATTATCGATCTGTTTCGATGTCTTCATATAACAACAAGATTAAACACAGTTTAATATATGTTTAAACAATAGTTTTTCACAAGATGAAAACAATCCGCATTCTTAAAAAAACATTTTGTAATTATGAATAATAATTTAAATGAAATTTTAAATACTAAGAGAGTCGTATTATAATAAAGTAAAAAGTCAGTTAGCTAGTAACTGTTCATTTAAGAAATGATATTATTATTTAACGATTTATGTTCCTACAATTTACATCAACGCAATTCCGAAGTAACATACGGTGTAAATTTAAGAAAAGTCAGTTGTACAAAATATTTAACATACAGTATATTACTTAATAAGAATAAATGAAATCTAGCAAACAACATTATTATATCAATAAATTCAATATTTAGTAAAGTATAACAAATAAATGAAATCGGATAACTATTAAGATCCATTATGGGGTATATTCTCCTAAAAATTCAAACTTAGATTTTAGCTATTGTAAAGACTTTGATCAGTAAAATTTCCAACTATCAGCAAGGCTCAAATGAACAGTAAACAGGAACATGAAATAGTTGCTACATCTTCATATCTCAAAATCCCTGTATATTTTCGACCAACTATATAACTAAGAGTCATTGACTGTTAAACTCAGTCTTATTAGTGGATGTAAGCTACCTGCTTGAGATTCACTTTTAGTTACTGTGACCAGTGGTTAGAGATCCTAATTTTTAAATGTGTTTTATACCATTTATTCAGTGAATCTGTTCATTCTTTTCGACAAATATTATTTATTTTTATTGTTTTTTCATTAACATCATTAATAATATTTTATTGTTCACGTTGAAAAGTTCATCTCTTTATCCTGTTGAGGTGTGGCAACTTAAACTAATGATCATGTGCACTTATGATTGACTAACTGATATAACTAAGAACAATAAGTGTTGATATTGTATGGCAACTCGATTTTGGACAATGATAATTACTTAATAAATAAATAAATTAAACAATTCATTATAGTATTCAATAAATAATTATATGTGTTTATAAATCAGTAATTGTTTTAAACTACACCAATGATTACAGGGAATAAAAATCGAAATATATTTTAAAAACGATTCGATAGTATTGAAGATAGAAATGAAAAATTCTTTACTCAATATAATACATTATCTCAATGAAAACATCTAGTTGCAGTTCGATCGAATACACATATGAACATGCATACAACATGTGTTTCATATTATTTTGCATAGCGAGTATTATTGAAACTTTTTCTAGATCATATTCATCAACTGGATCTACCTACAATTCAGATGTTGAGTTTATCTTCAGAACTCACATCCTAAGACGTTATTCATTCGATGTGATAAAACATAAACTACTATAATAGTTGATAACAAGTGTTTTGATTTGTTTTAAGACGTCCTCTGAAGTCATTTTTCTGATGTGTATCTCACTTAAAAATGAGTAAACTCTTTTCGCTTAGATTATGACTAACTCATACTCATGATAATAACACACTTACCACTTTTCTTAATCTATAAATGTATAAATTTTGCTTAAATAGATGGATTTTAATATGTTTGAAAGATTTAAAGCACCATCAATATTGATCTATACTAGCTAGTCGACTCTGAAGGAACTTAAAGATTTCCACAAAAAGCATTCAAAATAAGGTTTTGAACTGATTTAGACTCTACTTCTCGGATTATTTTAATAAATTATATAATGTATTTGACATTCTCCAAGAGAACTTAGAAAATAATAATAACCCTACCATTAAATCAAAATATGGAAAAAACTGATAAATTATTCTGTTACATATAAGATTTTGAAATGAATCCCAACAGATACAAACATTTAATATTGACGTTTCTACAAACTGCTTTGGAATATTAAGAAATTTGTACGATTGTTTTAATGAAATAAGTGAAAAAACATAAAACTCCTTATTTATTAGAATAAGATCAATGTTGAACGCAAATGATACTGTATGTTTAAACTGTAATCATTACCTTGAATTGTTTTAAAGAATGTAACAGATCGTCTAATTGTCTTTCAGCTTCTTTCGCTGCCAACATTGTTTGTTTATTCGAGTGTAGAGTATTAAAATTGTTTTCTGAATGATTATCAATCAATGTTGACGTACTAAAAAAGAGCGATATATATATATAATGAAACTAGGACTTTGAAAAAGGAGCAGAATATCATTTTGAGCGTCAATATTTATCACAATTTAGGTTGAGATATTATAAATAGCTGAATTTTCTGGTATAGAAAATTTTTAAACCAAAAATTAGGACATTTAAATTTTCAGCGCGATACTAAAAGTCAAATACCGATTAAAAAAAATAACAATTCGGAAAAACTTCAACGTGTAAAACTTACAATATATTCCAATTCTTCGATAATATAAATCATAAGTAGGTTATTTTGAGCTGGACTGTTTAGAAGTTTAAACTTATGATTAAATTCTAAAATCACCTGAATAATCACATAGAGTATATGTAAAGCATATGAAATTGACGGAAATTGTCATTAAATAACATCGTGCTTGACTAAATTCATTCAGAATACAATGAATTACACTTCCGACAAGATTAGTTTAACAGAAAACCATTATACTGAACACCTTCAAGGAGAAATTAGTTTTACCCTATTCCTTAGTATTTTGACATAATTTAACTGATAATAGTTTGTGGAAAACTACCAACAGAAATTATCTATCTCATGTTTAAATAAATTAATTTAAATTAAAGAAATAATGAATTTTTGAGCTAAGTCAGACTGATAGAGATAATGCAATAGAGATTGGAAAAAAAGTACAACATTTCACGCTATTTTGAATGATTAGAAATTATACCCGACAATAAATCGCTTTAAAAATTATATATATTTCAAAATAACAACAAAAGTTGCACTGACGTTAAAGCCAGTTGCTTTAACTCTAGTTGCTATGTCAATTCGGAACCGCGATATAAAATTATTAAATAGCAAAGGAGTCTAACCAATAGTAGTGTCAACAGTATTGAGAAAAACTGAATGTTGAGAACATAGCGCAATAACATATGAAAATAAGGTGTGCACGTAGACGTACTAGAACTTTAAGATCCAAGGGAAAAGACTGAAAAAATCTGTTACAGTATAATTGACTCTTAACCATGTTACACAAGGTCTTCAACTACTGTTCATAGTGATCTTATGAACCCAGGACAAAGTGTAAAATTAATCCAAAAAAATTGTGATTAATTTATGTTCATGTACCATTACAATAGACCTTAGCAACTCATGTTTCAGGTGTATTTAAATTTCTGAGTGATGTAATAGGGACAGGCTAACAGTTGATGGTTTCGAAATTGTTTTACCAAGGCAGTTTAAGGTCACAACTAATTACTTTTCAACCTCTCCAATGCTAGTCACTGACGAACAACTCAATAAGTAATTACTTAACATATATAAATGGATAGTGTAGTAAGAAGACGAAGATTATCTTACTACACTATCGAAATATATAAATTGAATTTCTTACACCAGTTGTTGAAGACTTTTAATGAGTGAACCGATTCTCTGATCATTTTTATTTAGGATCGTATAGATGACTTCAGCACTACTCGATTGATTTCTATTAGAAAAGCAATTTTGAAGAATAAGTTAAACAAAACAAATATTGATTTCTAACGTATCGTTGTGACTAATACAAAAGTAATACAACTAGTTGATTTGAAACCATCGATCATTCAGTAAACAGTGTTTAAAATACGACAAAGATATCTATGAAAATAACAATGAGTTACCAAGACAGTAATACAAGAGTTTTAGTAAAACAAAGTAGTAATGGAACTTGGAAGATTTATCCTTCACTACACAATGACTGTAGACATCAGTTTTTAAACGTAATGGAAAATGTAATATCTTGAAGTAACGAATAATTCAGATGAGATTCGATTAAAAAAATAACTGTGAATTACATGTGCATTAATTAATTGTCCACAATCAAACTTTAAAAATGAGAATTCTAATTTTTCTCACATTTGTGGTGATATAATGGGTGAAATATGAACATATATAGGTAGCTCGGTGTAAAAATTGAACTAGGTTCTTTATATTTGGTGATATTTTGATTCGGACGTTCTGGAAATAATTTATCTTATCCAACAAAAAAAATTGTTCTACGATTAGTTTTTATTAAAGATAATAGACAAAAGTTAGTTTTCATCGTTATAAGTTCTGTGATTAATCACCATTTAGTCAGTTTAAATCATGAATTAACTTTAGCCAAACAATCAACTCAAACTGGCTAAAGTGAGAAGTGTAGACAACAATCTGATAATATAGGGGCTCACAAGTAAAATGCTTGAAACTTGTAGGACCTGGTTTTATTATCTGAAAGAAGCTTGGAAGTACACTCTCGAAAAGTTCCGAACGATAGGATGAATAGATGGATGGTGGCCAGCAGTGGAATCTAGGACGCGCGTTTCGTCCCATTAAAGACTCGTCAACTGGATGTACTTGCAGCTCAGATCACCACGGGGCTCGAACCTAGTACGGTTCACTCTAAAAGTCATCGTGTTATCCACTAAGCCACTGAGTTCAGTTAGTCCAGTGAAAATCGACTATGGGATGCATGTACATCCAGCAAACGTGTCTTAAGTGAGAAGAAATGCAAGTGCTGGATTGCACTGCTAGCCGCCATCCATCTCTGTTTATAATGTTCGTGACTTGAGGCAATAAGCACAGGATGCACGTTCGCCAATAGGAGACGGACCAACTGCAGTTCTAAACATCAATGGAGAGATTCAAACAACCAGTACAAAAATGAATTAAGATAAATTGAATATTTCCAAATGGACTATAGTAAGTATAGTTCTGCGTAATAAGAGTTGAGGAATTCTTGCAATGGAGTGTCAGGTTCCTCTGCGTAGTTATCACTACCAATGTTCAATTTGGTAATTCCGAATAAACTGAGCATTGGGGAGATTAGTATAAATAATATATACGTAATGTCCCAATAACTCCGCTTGGAGCCCCTACGAGGCTCCCTTAGAAAAGTTATGACGTCTCATGATAAAAGCCGAGTTGTTTCGGAAGTCACGAGGTGGATGCTTCTTCTGACAACCAGAGCGACCATAAATTTAAGTACACGGAATGCTCGTTTAATGTGGGAGACCGGAAGAGTCATCCAAGTCGCTGCGTAAATGAAAAAAATACAACCTGAAGGTGCTTGGAATGAGTGAAACACATTGGGCGCAGGTTGGACAACAAATACAAGCTTCAGGGAGCTTTTGTTATACTCTAGCCATGAAAAATAAAATGCTCCACATACACAATGAGTTGCACTGATGCTATCCAAACAAGCACAAAATGAACTTATAGGATGGGAATCTCATGTACCAAGGATCATCAAAGCCTCCTTCAAAACAAAGAAAAAGAGCATTACAATTAACGTAATCCAAGGTTATGAGCCTACCAACGATGACAATGAAGATGTTGAAGAGCGATTCTACGATAGGCTGCAGTCAATCGTCGAGAAGTGCCCAACAAAGGACCTGACCATTTTGATGGGAGACCTAAATATCAAGGTGGGAATGGACAACACCGGATATGAAGACATCATGGGAAGAAATGAACGAAAGTGGTAAGTGATTTGCAAACATATGTGCCCCCAATAAACCGAATATAGATGAACGATGCGGAACGTGACAACCAAGAGAGGAGCTGATATAGCATCAGATCATCACTTGCTGGTCGCCACGATGAAACCGAAACTCAAGAAGCACTGAACAACGGTGCGGACAATATCACAAAAGTTTAGTACGATATTTCTTCGGGATACTGATAGACTCAACGAATTCAAGATAGTCCTCAGCAATAGGTTACAGGCCTTCCGCGATCTAATCAATAGAGGGGGAACTATTATGGCAAACTGGGAGGGGGTCAAGGAGGCAGTCACTTCAATATGTCATGAGGTTCCAGGCCACAAGAAGCTCCGCCACAAAGAAATGGATTACTGTTGATACACTGGATAAGATTCAAGAAAGGAAGAACAAGAAGGCAGCGATCAATATCAGCCGAACAAGAGTAGAGAAAGCAGAGTCACAAGTTCAATACACAGAAGTAAACAAGCAAGTAAAGAAAAGCATCGAACCGACAAAATTAAATAAGCGGAAGATTTAGCAATGACGGCGGAAAAGGCTGCAAGAGAAGGAAACATGAGACAATTGTATGATACAACAAAGTAGCTCGCTAAAAATTATCGTAAACCAGAACGACCAGTGAAAAGCAAGAAGGTAATATAATCATCAACATTGAAGAACAACGAAACAGATGGGTAGGGCACTTCAAAAAACTCTTGAAGCGACCAGCCCCACTGAACCCACCAAACATCGATGCAACACCAACGGACTCCCCAATCAATGTTTGCCCACTAACAATCGAAGAGATCAGCATGACCATCAGACAAATCAAGAGCGGCAAAGTGACGGGACCAGACGACATTCCAGCGGAGAGACTGGAAGCAGATGCAAAAGTGACTGCAAAGATATTCCACATTCCCTTCAGCAAGATTTGGGATGAAAAACAAGAACCAACAGACTGGAAAGAAGGACACCTGATCAAGATATCAAAGAAAGGCGATCTCAGCAAATGTGATAACTACAGAGGCATCACTCTACTCCCAATACCAGGAAAGGTCTTCAACAGGGTGTTGTTAAACAAAATGAAGAACTCCGTAGACGCCCAACCTCGAGACTGACAGTCTGGTTTCCATAAGGATCGGTCGTGTACCGACTAAATCGTAATACTATGGATCGTTGTGGAACAATCGATTGAATGAAGTTCATCACTGTACATTAACTTCATTGACTACGACAAAATATTTGATAATGTGAACTGGAAAACACTATGGAGGTTTCTTCAACATTATGGCGTGTCTGAGAAGGTAGTCAATATCACACGGAATTCCTATGATGGATTAAACTGCAAAATCGTTCATGGAGAACAGCTGACAGACTCGTTGGGAGTAAAGACCGGTGTCAGGAAATGTTGCTTACTCTCACTCTTTCCCTCTCTCCTGGTGATCGACTGGATCATGAAGACGTCAATTTTCAAGACAAATGGCAAGGCAGTTCTACTACATGGAGAACTATGAA